CTTTCATAAAATACCACTTGAGTTGTGCTTCAAAAGATATGAAATTTAATTTTAAAAGGCAATATTGACCTATATGCATGTTTAATTTGATCTTGTATTAGTTCATATCCAAAGAAACACCGTCGGAAAAAAAATAAAATAAAAATTAAATAATTTTCCTACCTACCTACCCCTTTTTTTTCAGGCTGGTAGCAGACAACAAGACTATTATTGGTTTTTTTGGCCTTATAAGGATCTAGTCACTGATTGAGCGTAACGGTTTTTTTTTTTCAAAAACGATACATTACGTCCCCTCTTCCTCACTATTTCTTCCTTACTTTTTTTTTTTCAAATTATTTTTATTATATGATTTAACTTAAGTCGAAATCTTTGTTTTTCTTTCGATTTATATATTTATCTGACTTGCCTGCTTGGAGATTTAAACAAATATGCATTATCTCATGTTGAAGACAAAAGTCTTTGTTTGATTGTTACTTATAAATACCTATCATGGCCCATCTTCGCTAGCCAAGGGTTTCTGATACGCTACTCTCCTCATAATCATGAGGAAAGTAGCGTATTAGAAACCCTTGGCTAGCGAAGATGATCATGCCCTGACAATATTATATATGTAATATATATCAATATCACAGTTTGTTAGCGTCGAGGACATTTTTAATTCATATAGGCGAAAATGATATTTTATAAGCCATTTATTTCTATCCTTATTATAATTATGTTTTAATTTTTTTTTTTTTGAAAAAAAAAATTGAGTGTAGGTACGTGCCTTAAGTGCCTAATGGTAGCCACGCCACTGATTGTGGTAAAACTTGTGTGAGTACAAGAAAAAAAAAACTTTCTTGAAAACCATGCACTCTGATCAATATGAAGGGCTAACATATCTGTTCAGTGAAGTGTTCACAATTACTAAAGTGATAATTTAAAGCTTTACATGTTCATATAGTCTATAAATTCTGGAAAATATGTATTTTCCTCCATCATTCCGTCACTATGTTATTATGTGGAATCAGTTCTTTTTTTTGCACAATTTGGTCACCTTCTCATCCCCGTAAAAACTTCAGGTGCCTGTGGTGGATTGCGTGAACACCCCTTCGTTGTAATGAACTTTAAAAAAAATTCGTTCTCTAATGCCAGTAATCGTTGTCTTAAACACAAATGTGCAAATACTCCGCCTCTCTCTTTCTCTCCGCCTGTTTCAAAGCAATATTTCCCTTTAAAAAATTATAAACAATAATTGCTTTATCTTTGATGATTATGCTATTTTTTTTAAAATTATTTAGATTTGGATGAGTGGTAATTGAGGCATTCTGTTAAATCATTGGGATACGAGTCTAATCATGCTAATTACATCTTCCCAAGTCAAGAGTTTCTGATCCGCTCCACTCCACATAAACTGTGGAGCCATCTTCCAAAGTCAAGAGTTTCTGGTCCGCTTCGGATTATAACCCCTTGACTTAGGAAGATGGCTAATTAGTGCCTTGTGAAGTGTGTATACGTTTTGAATGAATGAATCCAAATCCGACACATCAACATATTCAATCTTTACATGAAATTACATCGTATGTAAATCTTCATCTTAGCAAAGGAATTTACTATAATGACGTCCATTGTTACAAATGTACTGTTTTGGCAACAGTTGATTCTAATTATCATGAATGTTTTATTCACAACTGAGATCCCACCTTAATAAATGTAAGCAAAAGTTCTAAAAATAAACGTGGAAACTTCTTAAATCACATTATAAGTTAGTTTAATATAGTTATCCCTTCGCAACGATGTTGGAGGTTTACATCTTGAAAAGTCTTCGATCATTTGCAATGGAATTTCATACAACTCCTTATGTATGTAAAAGAATACCTATTGACTTTGAGGACAAATAGCCTATAGGCCTAATCATCTTTTGGCAGTTGATTATCGGTGGTGTCCTGTAGGTTACTCCTGCAAGTAAGAGTAAAGTCCCTACGCTCCTTATATACCTCTGCGACAAGTTAAACGTATCTCGTCGTAAACCTCTACCATCCTGTAGATGTGCAGAAAGATTCCAGAATTTTTATTTTCACCCTGTGGGTCAAATGAGGGTCGAAAATGACGTTTTTATACAAAAAGACACCATAAGCGCTTGTTTTCAGGATGGTGTATTTTGTGAATTATGTGTTTGAATACCCTCATTAAGATAAAAATAAAATTCGCTGAGAGAGGTCAGAAACCATGCCAAACTTGTTCTCTCTAGATTTTCCTTGTAATTCCGGGATGCCTCTACTTTTTTCATCATTAGAAATCTGCACTTCTGTTGCTTTCGATTTCTGTGCTTGGTATCGATCATGACGTTTTGGATTTACTGCATGTTTTATACGGCAAGTTCAAATCGGCACACGTTTGAAAGGCGTTATTCAATCATTTTTGAAGCTAGATCTCACCCCACACCGCTAGGGAAAATGTAGATATTGATTTAAATCAAGTATGAACCGAGGCACCCCCTGAAATCCAAGATGGCGAGTGTCATACCTTCTCTCTTTTTATATACAGTAAATATGACATTTTTAAAACTTGGTAACTTCAGCGAATTTTTATTTTTATTTTAATGAGGGTATTCAGACATACCTAGAAAAACACATAATACACAAAATACACCATCCTGAAACCAAGCGCATTTGAAAGACACTGGTTCCCAGAGCTCCTTTTACATTTTCCGCATTATAGCCTAATCATTTTTTGTTGATTGATTGAAGATGATTAAAGTTGTCCTGTAGATGTGCTATAAACTTTCCTAAGCTAAGGAATCAACACATGGAAAAAACTGCATACAGACCCCCACCCCAAAAAAATCTTTATTAAAGTGAACCTTTAAACAGACTGGTACATTGAACTAACACAAAAAGCCTATTGGCAAATGCTCATCAGTGCATTTTCTTCTCAATTTAATGCAAGAAAATACCGGATATTTCTGTAAGTAAAACACAAATACAGAAAAACTATTTTGTGTTCTTCTTCACTCAGGTAGTGATACGAGTGTAGAGGCAAATACTTAGTACTTATGTGTTCTTATGACATTCATTCTTTTATTAGAATTTAATACTGAAAATCCCTATGACGTTAAGACCCCATCGATTATAAGGTCAAATAATTTGATTTTGGAACAATATCTTAAAAGTATTTGAACTTTTATCATAACCCCTTTGATTTTTAGGACAAAGATCATAAATTGAAATAAGGCAAAATCATTTTCAAGATGATAACGGCAGGTTTCATTGAGCTTTCTTTGAAAAAAAATATCAAAACTCCTATGCAATGGCCTAAAGTAGTAATCAATTTTGAGGTCAAAGATCATAGATCAAGGCCATAAATACTTACACTTTGTGAAACACTTTTTTTTTTCTTCAAATTATCTCTTTAAATTAAAAAACTTTGAAAATTAATACGTTTATTTAAAAGTCACATGGTCAAACTTCAAGGTCAGAAATTCTTATTGAATATAGTTTTCAGATAATAATGTGTTTTCTCTAAGCTTTTGCAATGAAAATTTCGGTCATACAATAAGTATATCTGGGGCTATTCACCTTGAATAAAAATCATGGCCAGCGAACTTTATGGACAGAAAACCCTTGTATAGTATATGAATAAGAATAGACGTGAATGTAATATTCTAAAATGTATAGCTTTTCAATGCAAGAATAAAACAAGATAAATTATGTATTTATTGAAAATCAACAGATAACAATATCAACGCACTTTGCACAATGTCTGAGCAACAAGGATAAAAAATTATTTTCCACAGATACATAAAAGGAACAGAAAGCAAAATAGAAAAGCTTTGTGTGATAGAACAATTTTTGAGGAATGATTATTTCCAAGACCTTCGTTTGGGTCTTTTAGAGTAGTAGTTGAAGTCGTTGTTGTGGCTTGGGAAGGAGTTGTAGTAGTTGAAGTGGAAGTAGAAGGAAGGGTTGTGGTAGGAGTAGTGGTAGAAGGAGGAAGGTTTGTAATCGTTGTGGTAGTTGGAAGAAGGGTTTTGGTCGTTGTTGTTGGAGCAGTGGTAGGAGGAAGGGTTGTGGTCGTTGTTGTAGGAGTATTTGTAGAAGGAGGAAGGGTTGTGGTTGTTGTTGTAGGAGTAGTTGGAGGAAGGGTTGTTGTCATTGTTGAAGATGTAGTGGTAGAAGGAGGAAGGGTTGTGGTCGTTGTGGTAATTGGAGGAAGGGTTGTGGTCGTTGTTGTAGGAGTATTTGTAGATGGAGGAAGGGTTGTGGTTGTTGTTGTAGGAGTAGTTGGAGGAAGGGTTGTTGTCATTGTTGAAGATGTAGTGGTAGAAGGAGGAAGGGTTGTGGTCGTTGTGGTAGTTGGAAGAAGGGTTGTGGTCGTTGTTGTTGGAGTAGTGGTAGAAGGAGGAAGGGTTGTGGTCGTTGTTGTAGGAGTAGTTGGAGGAAAGGTTGTTGTCATTGTTGAAGATGTAGTGGTAGAAGGAGGAAGGGTTGTGGTCGTTGTGGTAGTTGGAAGAAGGGTTGTGGTCGTTGTTGTTGGAGTAGTGGTAGAAGGAGGAAGGGTTGGGGTCGTTGTTGTAGGAGTAGTGGTAGTTGGAGGAAGGGTTATGGTCGTTGTTATTGGAGTAGTGGTAGAAGGAGGAAGGGTTGTGGTCGTTGTGGTCGTTGTGGTAGTTGGAGTAAGGGTTGTGGCCGTTGTTGTTGGAGTAGTGGTGGTTATTGGAAGGGTTATGGTCGTTGTTGTAGTTGGAGTAAGGGTTGTGGTCGTTGTGGTAGTTGGAGTAAGGGTTGTGGTCGTTGTTGTAGTTGGAGTAAGGGTTGTGGTCTTTGTGGTAGTTGGAGTAAGGGTTGTGGTCGTTGTGGTAGTTGGAGTAGTGGTGGTTATTGGAAGGGTTGTGGTCGTTGTTGTAGGAGTAGTGGTGGTTTGAGGAAGGGTTGTGGTCGTTGTTGAAGGAGAAGTGGTAGTTGGAGGAAGGGTTGTGGTTTGAGGATTGCATGTTAAACAACACGTTACATCACGGGACGTTGGATCATAAAACGGACAACTAGCTTCATCGCAAGCGGTGCTTCTGTCTCCAAATTCACATCCTAAATTAGAAATTAAGAAAAAAAATACATACCTGTTAGGGCAATAGCCAATTAATTTGATAGAAATTTGTATATTCATGTACCTGTTATTCCAGTGTTAACCGTCGGACATGACTCACAACAGTTTTCATGAATAGATGTATCATAGCACACCCAATTTTGACTCAATGCAGCTGCAGAACAGTTCATCCCATTGACTGTATAATATGGATTATCTCCGTTTGGGCACGATCCCTACATATATTGAAAAGGCCAAAGTTCAAGGTCAGAAAACTTATTGCATGTACAATCTTCAGATAATAATTTAAATTAAGTTTTCTTTTAGTTTTTTCAGCAAAACATTTGTCATACAGCTAGTATATCTAAGACCACTCAGATTGAAAAAAAAATTCAAGGGCAGCGAATTTTTTTGGACAAAAGCCCCCTCGTATATTAAGAATTCACTTGAAATTCTAAATTTTCTATATTAATGACTTAGTGTGATCTTGCAGCTGTTTTAGAAATATTCGTACTCCACTTAAAAATACGATCCCGGGCTAGCTAAATAGGTTAACAGTCTTATAAACTCAATAATATTTGATAGTGAAAGGTTCCCTCCCAGACACCGCCCCTGTAAAAAGATGAAGGTCTACATATGGGATTCAGAATGTTAGTGAGCTCTCGAACTATACACATTGTACTCTTATAACTGTATTATTTGCATTTTTCACAATTTTGACTGGTCTAGCGAGTAGCGAAAAGGGTCTGGTCTTGTTAACTCGATTCCTTTTGACTGACAAAGGGTTCCTCCTAGACCCCTTCATTGTAATAAGAAGGAGGACTAAATATTGTATCCAGGATGTTATTTAGCCCATTGCACAAGGTTAACCTTTATATCAGTATGATCACATTTTAATTCGGCTAGATTTGGTTTTGTGTCTTTTTTTGTAAGACTGATCTTTGATTCTCATCTTCGGCATGTATTATATTGAGTCAATTATTATTTTTGACCAAAAAAATATAAGGACACTCACGTTAACTTGATCATAAATAGCGAATCGGTCACAGAATGCAGTTCGCCATTCGAATAGTGAAAAACAAATAGCGGAATAACCTTTTAACTTCTGATTGCAGCTTGTAATGAGTAGTGACTGGATAAAATTAGATAACGATGAGTTCTGCCATAATCTCCTTTAAACATGTTTTTGTAGGATCTTTCAAAAATTAAAATTTTTTAATTAAGGTTAAGGTGGATTAAGGTGTAACTCTTCTCGTTCAAAATAAATTGTATGATGAACTTGGATGGGATCTTTTAAAAACAAGGAGAAAAATTCATAAGCTAATATTGTTTTATAAAGTTATTAATGGTTATTCTCCTCAGTATCTGTATGATCTGATTGAACTTTATCACCCATCAAGTCATTCGTATAATCTTAGAGCTAATGATGTTCAATTCAAAATTCCTAATATTAGAACAACATCTTATATGGAAAGATTTCTTCCCTCTACAGTCAAACAATGGAATACCTTGCCTGATTATATTAAAAATGCCCCAGGAATATGTTCATTCAAGGGTCTTTTAAAATCTTATTTCTGTAAAAAAAAGTATTAAACTTTTTAATTTTGGAATAAGAAAATATAACCTAATACATTGCCAGATAAGGAATAATGCTAGTAATTTGAAAGCAGATTTATATAATCAACATTTAGCTGAAACTCCAATGTGTGAACATTGTACTGACTGTATTGAAGATGCCTATCACTACTTTATTGTTTATCCAAAATATACTATTCAAAGAGATGTACTTTTTCAATCGACACATAATATTTTAAACTGTGACCATATCCCTGAATGTGATTTATTTTACATGGTAGTTCTAACCATGGTCTTGACATTAATATAAAAATATTTAAAGCTGTACATACATTTATAGCAACAACAAAACGTTTTATATAAAACACTGTCATATACATTTATACAGATGTAATTTTTATTTGTTAGAAATATTCCCAAACCGGTACTTCTTTGTATTTTGTCTTTTTGTTATTTTGTTCATTCTATTTTTCTCTTTTGTACATTTTTTCCTTATTTGACTTTTTCTGTATTTTTTTTTCTATGTTACCATGTGCATTTTGTTTGTGTTTTTAGCTCACCTGAGCTGAAAGCTCAAGTGAGCTTTTCTGATCACATTTTGTCCGGCGTTCGTCTGTCTGTCCGTCTGTCTGTCTGTCTGTAAACTTTTCACATTTTCGACTTCTTCTCAAGAACCGCTGGGCTAATTTCAACCAAACTTGCCACAAAGTATCATTGGGTAAAGGGGATTCAAGTTTGTTCAAATGAAGGGCCACGCCCTCACTCAAGGGGAGATAATTGGGAATTAATGAAAATTTGGTGGCATATTTTAAAAATCTTCTTCTCAAGAACCACTGTGCCAGGAAAGATGAAACTTATGGAGAAACATCCTCAGGTAGTGTAGATTCAAGTTTGTTCAAATCATGACCCCCGGAGGTAGGGCGGGGCCAAAATGGCCGACCAAAGTTTTACATAGAAATATATAGGAAAATTCTTTAAAAATCTTCTTCTCAAGAATGACAAAGCCATAATTCATCATATTTATATGGAAGCATGCTCAGGTGTAGATTCAAGTTTGTTCAAATCATGACCCCCGGAGGTAGGGCGGGGCCAAAATGGCCGACCAAAGTTTTACATAGAAATATATAGGAAAATTCTTTAAAAATCTTCTTCCCAAGAATGACAAAGCCATAATTCATCACATTTATAAGGAAGCATGCTCAGGTAGTGTAGATTCAAGTTTGTTCAAATCATAACCCCCGGGGGTAGGGCGGGGCCAAAATGGCCGACCAAAATTTAACATAGAAATATATAGGAAAACTCTTTAAAAATCTTCTTCTCAAGAATGACAAAGCCATAATTCATCATATTTATATGGAAGCATGTTCAGGTAGTGTAGATTCAAGTTTGTTCAAATCATGACCCCCTGGGGTAGGGCCGGGCCAAAATGGCCGACCAACGTTTTACATAGAAATATATAGGAATTTTTTTTAAAAATCTTCTTCTCAAGAATGACAAAGCCATAATTCATCAAATTTATTTGGAGCATGCTCAGGTGGTGTAGATTCAAGATTGTTCAAATCATGACCCCCGGGGGTAGGGCGGGGCCAAAATGGCGAACGAAAGTTTTGCATAGAAATATACAGGAAATTCTTTAAAAATCTTCTCAAGAATGACAAAGCCATAATTCATCATATTTATATGGAAGCATGCTCAGGTAGTGTAGATTCAAGTTTGTTCAAATCATGACCCCCAGTGGTAGGGCGGGGCCAAGACCCCCAGGGGTAGGGCGGGCCAAAATGGCCGAGTTTTACACAGAAATATACACAGAAAGTTTTACACAGAAATATATAGGAAAATTCTTTAAACATCTTCTTCTCAAGTATGACAAAGCCATAATTCATCATATCTATATGGAAGCATTCTCAGGTAGTGTAGATTCAAGTTTGTTCAAATCATGACCCCCAGGGGTAGGGCGGGGCCAAATTGGCCGAGTTTACACAGTTTTACACAGAAATATATAGGAAAATTCTTTAAACATCTTCTCAAGTATGACAAAGCCATATTTTATCATATTTATATGGAAGCATGCTCAAGTAGTGTAGATTCAAGTTTGTTCAAATCATGACCCCTGGGGGTAGGGCGGGGCCAAAAATGGCCGACCAAAGTTTTTAAAGATATATATAGGAAAATTCTTTAAAAATCATTTTCTAAAAAATAGCAAATCCATGATTGGTCATGGGACTACTTTTGGATTTAAACGTTTCAATAAAAAGCCATTTTCTACTTTTCCTACCCTTAGTGCTCAGGTGAGCGATGTGGCCCATGGGCCTCTTGTTTCTCTCTTCTTTTGTACATTCTTTTATTATCATTATTTGTTTTGTACCTTGACCGTAATGTAGGGTGAGGGCTAAAATAGGCTGTGCCTGCTGCCCAATCCTATTCACAATAACATCAGTGAATAAAATATTGTTTAAATTGAATTAAAAATTAAAATTTTAAGGTAAACAGTTACTAAAGTATCTGTTTTTTAAACAAACCGTACGGGAGAGGCGGTTGTTATGCTTCCGCAAGTATCGCAGCAGAGGACATCCCTGGAATGGCTATCGTAATAGGGACAACTCGCTACGTCACAGGACGTTGATCTGTCTCCATATTCACAACCTGGAGTTATGTAATGAACTGTATATTAAAACAGATGAAATTTATATTTTATTTGAAATTATTGTCATATCTATCCATGTTCCTGAGATATAAAGCCACTAAATAATATATTTTAGTTAAATTTATAATCAGTTCTGAACAACCTGGAGTTATGTAATGAACTGTATATTAAAACAGATGAAATTTACATTTTATTTGAAATTACTGTCATATCTATCTATGTTCCTTAGATTTAAAGCCACTACGTAATACAGCTCAACACACTTTTTAAGCTCACATGGTTTTTCGCACAAATTAAGGTCACATTGTTTTGATGCGTTATTGTGTATAAAGGTAACACAAAATATATTTTAAAAGTGATTTTATGCATTATTCTCATTTTATTTCACTTATTAAAAACATAATTCACATTTCATAACAGGTAGGACTTTTATATACTCTTGGCTGATAAATAACAACTATTCCCAAATGATTTTTCATGGATTCTTTCCAATTGCGAAAGTAGTAGTATTTGTTCTGTTGAAAGCTGTAGCTTATTACAGGAAGGTATAAGACATTGGCACAATACAGTTCCCGTTACTTGTATTTTTCTGTACATTCTGACTCTTTAGCGCAAGATTACAACAATATTTCTCATCTGTTTGACTACTTTCTTTGCTATAAAGCTAATTTTTTTCAGAGTAACTTTCTAAAATCTAGAATCATGAAGGATCAATCCCACTGCAAAATTTTAAAGCTTCAAACAGCAAATGAAAAAGAATTTTCCTTTCGAAAGAATTTACTATTTGAAAGGGGAAACGATACTTCAGTATCCTCCTTATTGGCATTGTTTCTTTCTGCAGTATTGTACATTTTTGCCAGACTGGTACTTTTCGACAAAACTAAGACGAGTAGGGTAAATGAGCAAAGTATTTAGAAAAATACTTGCTTTCAAGAAGCTAATCAAAAAATTTCAACTAAATGTTGTGAAAGAAAGCTCGTTTAATTAAACTTGTGTATACCTATGGTAGATTCATATATTTGTTACATTGTATCATTTACTGATAAATTACCTTTTAAAACAGACACTTTAGAACTTAAGGTAACAATGTTAAAAGACATTTACTTTTGACATTACAATGTATATATAATACAATGTAGGGTTATGTCGTCGTACTGAAGTTCGATAATGTTAATTTTGCTACCAGAAGAATGTTACCTTGATTTGTGCGAAAAACAATGTGAGCTTTAAAAGTATGTTGAGCTGTATATTTATAGTTAAATTTATAATGACTTCTGAAAAAAAATGATAAAGTTTTTAGTTTAAATACTAATTGAAAAATACACCAAAAAGCAAAATAGCTCCTTATGATTAATTTAAGACCTTAGTCGTGAAAAGTATTTCGAAGAAAACTAACAGCGACCTGAGTGTATTAAAAAAAGAACAAGTTTGGCGCGGTTTATGACATCTATAAAATATCCGGACCGCATTTACACTTTCCATAGGTACGTTCTGACGTTTTGGTTTACTCAACTGCAAAATCAGCAGAGTGAGCAGACAATAGAAGGAAGTTCAATCATTTTTGAAGATAGGACTCACCTGACTGCGGTAGGGAAAGTGAAGAGATACACCTTCTTGCAAGTGAAAACCATTGTGTTTCTATTTCATGCACATTGATGTATATACGATTTATTTTCAAAATACAAATTTTAGTTTTATATAAAATTCAACATAAATAGAAATATATAGAAAAAAAACAAATAAACGAAATGCATGTACAGTAATACCATTCTAAAACAGAGCACCGAGAAGTATGATTTCATATACCCTCAATATCTTAAGATTTACTCAAACTGAAAATGATTTCAGATATCGGAAATAGGTGTGATAGGTTTAGGAATTTGTGTATTTTTGTGATATAAAATTCTCCGAGGTCGGTAGGGAAGGGTTAACATCATCCATTTCTTAGGTGTCTGTTGTTTTACCTGAAACTCCTGTGTAAACAGATGCACACGATTCACAACAGTACGTGTTAATTGACGATGAATAACAGTTGTGCTGTGAAACTGCAATTGCAACTGAACAATTGTTGCCACTTATAGTAATTTGTGGATTATCCCCGGAACAAGAAGCCTGCCAGGAATTAAAAAAAAATGTACAATAAAAAAATACTAGTAATTAGCCTTTTAAAAGATGTCATGGTACCGGCACTTGTATATAAAATGTATACTTTTTGCCAGGTTTTGGTTCTTTACTGACCGTAGTCATTATTGTTGATGTTGTTGATGACGTCGGGTACGTAGAGAATGATGGCGTCGTCGGAGCTGTTGTGGATGATATAAGAGAAATACTGGATGGAGATGTTGAAGATTGCTGTTGTGCTGTTGTCAGTCCATCAGTTGTTGTTAATGATTGTGTAGTTGTCAGTCCAGCAGTTGTTGTGATCCCTGTTGTTGTTGTTGTCGGTCCTGGAGTTGTTCCTGTATAACAAGTGCCACAACAGCCAGAGCTCAATGTCGCTGCACTGTAAAATGAACATGAAGAGGCAACGCATCCGGTATTGTGGTCTCCGTATTCGCATCCTGAAATGTTTGACATTGAAAGACATACAAAAAAGACTCAATTACGACCATTACGCTGCATGAGCATTGATTTACTTATATTTTTATAGCATCGTAGATTGGATTCTTAGGATAACATTGAACATTTGGCACCGTTAATCATTTTATGATTTTTTTTTTTATGTGATAAAACGTTTCCATTTTATTTTATGCACGTTAAATAAGGAATGATACAGTATTAAAGCCTTATTCTTTTACCTGTTTCAAAAATTATACTCAAGGAATGATAAAACGTTCAAATCGACACTGGTCCAACATAGGTATGAACATTAATGAATAAATACATAATGTATAATTAATCAAAAGTAAGGGACATACCTGGAATATACGAAATGTATGTAGCTGCACAGGATCCACAACATTTCCCTTGATAATAAGACTGGTAACAATATCCCGGGAAAGTAGATATAAGAGTTGCGCAATCCATGTCATTAGCAATCACCCCTGGGGTATCCCCGAATACACAAGTGTCGGGAACAGATGCTGCCCGCGAGTCTGAAACGCACTGTCCAGCAATGCACCACTGCATAGAGAAAAAAAATTATCTCAATCAAGAAAAGTGAAATACCTGTATTACTGTATATGCCAAATTAAATTAGAGATGTTACCTTTTGGTTTCCACATGAGGTACCTTCCCATGGTACTGCAGTAGAACAATATCCACTTCCGTCAGGAATAGAGCAGTACATAAAGGCACACACAGCTGAGGGATCCGATATGAAATTCTAAAAATCAGAATTATGTGGAACATTCTTATTTTTTAACCTGAGCCAAAGGCTCAAGTGAGCTTTTCTGATCAAAATTTGTCCGTTGTCTGTCGTTGGCGTTGGCGTTGTCGTCGTTGTCGTTGGCGTCGTTGTCGTAAACTTTTCACATTTTCATCTCCTTCTCAAGAACCACTGGGCCAATTTCAACCAAACTTGCTACAAAGTATCCTTGGGTAAAGGGGATTCAAGTTTGTTCAAATGAAGGGCCACGCCCTTTTCAAAAGGGGAGATAATAATGAATTAGAGAAAAAATAATGGCATTTTTAAAAAATCTTCTCAAGAACCAATGGGCCAGAAAAGATGAAACTCATGTGGAATCATCCTCAGGTAGTGTAGATTCAAGTTTGTTCAAATCATGACCCCCAGGGGTAGGGTGGGGCCAAAATGGCGATCAAAGTTTTACATAGGGAAAGATGGGAAAAATCTTTAAAAGTCTTCTTCTCAAGAACCACTGGGCCAGGAAAGATGATACTCATTTGATATCATCCTCAGGTAGTGTAGATTCAAGTTTGTTCAAATCATGACCCCCAGGGGTAGGGTGGGTCCAAAATGGACGATCAAAGTTTTACATAGGAATATATAGGAAAAATCTTTAAAAATCTTCTTCTCAAGAACCACTGGGCCAGGAAAGATGAAACTCATTTGTAATCATCCTCAGGTAGTGTAGATTCAAGTTTGTTCAAATCATGACCCCTGGGGGTAGGGTGGGGCAAAAATGGCCGATAAAAGTTTTACATAGGAATATGTAGGAAAATTTTTTTAAAATCTTTTTCTCAAGAACCACTGGGCCAGGAAAGATGAAACTCATTTGAAATCATCCTCAGGTAGTGTAGATTCAAGTTTGTTCAAATCATGACCCCTGGCGGTAGGGTGAGGCCAAATGGCAGATAAAAGTTTTACACAGGAATTTCTAGGGAAACCTTTTAAAATCTTCTTTTCTAGTACTTTAAAGCCATGCCTAGTGATATTAATAGGGAATCATCCTCAGGTGGTGGATTCAAGCTTTGTTAAAATCATGACCCCCTGGGGGGTTAAAATTCACGCCCCCCCCCCCCCCCCCCCAGTAAACTTTCAGTTCTGATCTGATGTGTGCTTTTTCCTAGCCAATTGCTCAGGTGAGCGATGTGGCCCCTGGGCCTCTTGTTTAATGAAGTATATTTTTGTAAAACTAGAATTTTTATTTCGAAAAAAGAAGCCTTACCCTGCAGAAAAATGAGCTGGAATTGTCCTTCTTTATCCTGCACTGCTCATCAATTGAATAAACTTGGCCAGCAAGAGTTGTCAGGTAACTGTCAATGGCTGTTGGGTTGTGACTAGCAGTAAGGGATGACATACAATTGTTACCACCCCTGAAAAAGTATTGTAAATTAACCAACAGTGCTTTCACAATATATATATAATGTGCCTTAACTATGTTCTTGTGTTTTATCTTTTAAAAATTATAATTATTTTGGAATTTTTGAACATTTAAACATTTGACTTACGTGTCAAGATCTGCAATGTACTGTTCAAAGTAACTGACGGAACAAGAAGAAAATGACCAATGGTTAATGGCACGTGAATCAGTGACACCGCCACTGCTAGGAGACATGGTGTACTTGTCGTCTGCTAAACAAGAGTTCCCATCACCGTCATGAGCGGCCCCCAAACTTTAAAAAAAATACATTCAAAAAATTGTTTTTGAAACGGGAAAATTATTTCATTCGGCATTTAATTCAGAATTTTACTTACTTGTGGCCTAATTCGTGAGCTGCGACAGTTGCAATAATTGCATCAAAATGGTCCTCTACGATTGAGTTGCTACTAGCTGTACACGTAGCACTAAGCCAAGCTAAACCTTGATGATAAGAACAAAATTGTAAATCAAATAAGAAAAACAACAAATGTTTTATCAACTTTAAATTTCTATATTCTAGAATAATCGCTAAACATACTATAAGTGACTTGTAAACTCGAAACTCTGAAAATTATCTCTTTAAATAAAAAAAAAGCATTGAAAAATATGAAATACACAAAAGTAAATATATACGCTTGGTAAACACATTCATTCTTCGTTTGAACTCCTTGAATGCTTAAAAATACAATACCAGCATTACTGCTGCTTCCCCCACTTGTCAGATCATACCTATCAGTGGTGAAAGATTCGAAATTATGGTCAACAAACTGTCAGGTAGAATCAACACATTTTTTTTTTCGTATTTTCGGAGAGATTCTCCACATTTAACCGTACAATACCTCAAGAAATCCAGAAAAAGAAAAACAAGTGGTTTAAAGAATATAAATGTTTATGATACCCCGTGAAAAGCATAGCATGGTCATATCCTGGGAGTCCGGAAGCACTTGAAATCCAGGTCCGGAAGTTGTTGAGGGCGTTACTCGAGTCTACCTGGTCTCGACTCGGAGCGCTAATCTTAACCGACTCTGTCCATGTAGAGGAACTTGGATCCTACATATTTTAGTCGCCATAATTTGCATTTGAATTAAACTAAGTTATATTCAAACATAGATTAGTATAATCTGGATTCTGCTTGACTCTCAGATTTCGACGAATTTATGATTTTCAAGATAATTTCAAATATACATAGCTGTTTTATGTACTTATCTGTACAAATAATAGAAGGTAGTAATTTAAAACGGATAGGCTTGTTAGTAACATGCTTCTTGTTCAATAAGGTTTTCAATACTTACATCAGCAATTAAGATCCCGGCGTATACCACTTTAATGGTAAACGTCACACCTGTTATGGACTGGTACCTCAGATCAATCTACGGAAAAAAACTCTTCATTTATTGATTTTATGCTTCTGGATATTCCGTTTTAATGTTTTTTGAAATTTTACTATGTTCGTGAGGGAGGCTGATGGGTGAGGTTTAATTCTTGTTAAGTTCTAAAATTTCAAAGATTCGTGGGATGAAAGGTAGCGGAAAGCCTAATGTAATGTTAAGGTAGGATTCGTCTCAAATTTCTTTTATAAATTAATGAAATTTTCACAGAATCAAGAAGACAATATCATATCAGTTTTATTAAATTTGACGTTTTATACAGATAAGATGCAAGGTCAGATCAAGTACATTACCTCTTCCCTGGACATGTAGGAATAAAAAATATAACTGTTGCCAATCATTGATTGCCCACTTCTATTTCAAAAGATTATTATTTTTAATTTTGCATTAAAAGATATTACCAAAAAGTATCTATAAGTTGACATTACCAAATTGGCAAAAGTAATTTAACTAAAATGGACATTGGCTAATCCGAATTTTCTCTAATTCTTTTTTAATTTTTTAGGATATATAATTTATACTGATATGCTTCCTATATTTAAATTTTTCTTATTTTCATATACGGTAAAATTGTCTTATAAAAATACAAAATGATATTAAAAAAAACCACTTTTTCGGATTTTTGGCTTAAATTTGTTCTTAGAAAGGAAACTTTTAATTGTACTTTATTTGGAAAATCATATACATTTTATTTGTTTTATTAAAATTAGTCCATTGTTATTAATTTGATTTAAATTTGAAAATTTCTTCAAGTCTTTGTTTGTGTAAAAATTATCACTAAATTAATTGTTCTATAATAATTATGAGAAGGTATTTTCATACGCCGCCATTCCGCCAAAATATAGTTTCTTCTAGATTTCAAAATCAATTAACCATTTCTATTTAAAGTTGTACAAGTGTGATGAGAAAAGAAAAATAAAATCTTTTAGATCTCTTAAATCTGAATATATAAGACATATAAGCAAATATACTTTGAATATTTCATCTAGTCAGAAACCAAAGGAGAATCCTATCTTTAGATAATTGAACTTGCAAATTTATGGGTATGAAATGTCAACAAAAAATCATGAAAATTTTAAAATAATTAATTCTTATACAATTGATAACTCACAGCATTGATTGTAAAGGCATAAAACTCTCGGATTTTTCCTTTTGCGTCGAAGTCCTTTTCAGCGACTGTGGTTTTAGTGCTTCTCTGATACCAGCTGCAACATTAAACCAAAATTTGCAATTACTTCTTAGTTTCTCTCTTTTCTCCCCTTTCAAAATATATTCCATCATGTTTACCTCGTTTGGTAAAGTTCATGGTGTAAATAGAGCATATGTTTATGTAAAGATAGATACTGTATATGATTTTGAATTTAAAATTATACTAATTTCTACTTTGTATAATATCAAATATTCACCATTTCATTTCATTTTTGGATAATAACTGCATGTACATGTTCATGAAAATATATTATTCTAATTCTATATGACTTACAAATTATAAATGGGAAAGTCCGTCACAACAAAAAGCTCGACTTTCAGTTCGCCAACGTAACGCTTAGAGCGCTGATTTTCAGTATGATTATACATTCTTGGTCGCTTACCTCCCTCTGTGAAAATAATTAAAAACACTTCTGTTTAAAAAAAATAAAGAAAGAAAAAAGAAAACACAAATATTTGTTGGCTAAAGTGGCATAGTCTATTATCAACTCGGTGAAAGAGTTTTCAACGAACAATCTGTAACTAAAGAAGATTTTACATAGCATGGAACTGATCTAGAGCATTTAAATACTATATTATTTTATTATAAGCATTTTTTGCAAAAAAAAAAAAACGCTTAATGTAATATTTTTTTAAAAACAAAATGAACAATTGACTCTGGAGAAAGGACCTACTCATTTACATAAAAAAAAATTGCAAATGCTAATAATATGTTTTCATCTTTACTAGGCCTCTTTCACAAACTAGCATTCACATAAAAAATATAATATAGAGTATCTTATCTAAAATATTACCTGTATAAATGAAATCCGATTTGAAATCTACTGTTTCAGGTGGTTGATAGATTCTGTGTAGAATATTTCTGTGATGCGGCACCTCTAGAGGCTCTATTGCATGGTAGGTACCGTTAATAATCAGAGTTCCTTTCTGAAAAGCATGAAAATGATGATTTTAAACGAGACTGTTGATACTCTTGGTTTTTTTTTTTTTTATCAATTTGTTTTTCAATTATTACCTTGTTAATTACCTCGATAGAAGTTGTTCTTACTTTGCGCATTCTCTTGCGTATCGAATCAATTTAGAAAGAAAGTCCATATCATATGAATATTTCTTCAATGTGTTTAAAGTCCATATGCAGTTTACGATAAAAAAAAACAATTGAAAACAATAAGCTTATCATAAAGTTTGATTGTTAGGTTGTCATCATGTGAATTTTACTTAATTATAATTTGTTCTATCATAAGACCTGCCAGTTTTGTTTTACAGCCAATTCATTGTGTTGGCAGAGACATCAATAGCATTGATGAAGTGTCTCTTGGTATATAGTCATGCCCAATTTTAGCCAAAAAGTTTAATTTCTTCAAGTATGCAATTGTGTTTAAATATGCACTTATCAAAGATAAATACGATATATGAAAATTCTTACCAAAGAGTGCTGGCATCTTCCCATTTTTTTCCTTCTACAGGTTAATGCAATCGCTGCCTTCTTTGTTATGTCTTGGTAAAATATGGTGGTCTTATTGAATAGAGAATAAATGTTATTGAATTATATTATAATCACTACCTAATTGTACAATACTGGGAAAAAAGACAAATTTAAAAAGGCACATGAAAACTATTGAATCAAAAGTTAAGAAAACATAATGTACAAAAAATAGCAAATTGAACTCAATAAAACCTGAATTTCAGAGTACTACAGGTAAAAACGAAAAAAGTCATTTATAAGTATAGATATAGAGGAGGGACACTTCATCGGCACATACAACTTTTCCTGTTACAGTTACATAAGCTAAATTTGTATAAAGAACGTAAGTAAAAACATTTATTTGTTTTAAATAAGGAATACTAATGGAACCACTTGGGAATCGTGCAGTTAAAGAGAAACATAATTATACGAACTTGTCAATCAATAAGAAGTTCTACGTCAACATTTCAAAAGAATTAAAATGGTCATGCTACTCTTATTCTTCTTTTCAAAGAAACATTAATGATTGAAATCTTAATGAGCATTTAAGAACACTTTAAACTAAATGAAAAGCATTTGGCTAATTTATTTATTGATCTATAGAAGAATATATCTGCAATTCAATCCGAAAATAGATAAAATTTGTACTTGATCGTTCAAGGTAAAGCTAGTCGTTTAAATTGAAGGTCATTCTATAATGAATACATGTATGAGTGCTTTTAATTCGTGTACGACTGTAAGTATCTGAGATTCATCATATGCATTTTCAGCTAAAAATCACACAAACGATGCATAAAACATATTATTGATACCATAAAAATGCCGATGATATGGTCGAAACATGGACAACTGCAAGTTTTTCTACCCATTTTGTATTGTGCTGTATCATACATATACAAGTATATGTATAAATGCAGTTTAACATAAATACTTGCATTCATTATAGCCGTTATTTTTTTTTGACAATAGCGTCAAAACTGCAGAAAACAACAGCTTGTAATTGTGGCTAAACATACATTTTCTAAGACATCGCAATCTGCCAGATTATCTCGTCTTATAACTGAAAATCCAGTCACAATACTGAAACTGAAACTTTCTCGGTTTATACGGTCTCAACCAAAGGACCGGTCTCCAAGACTCGCAGTGGGAGAGTCTTAATTTAGACCAAACCTTGACCACTGCGCCACAAGGGCGACTCAACAGGCTCTGTAGAGGCCATGTGTGCCACCAACACGAAGAAGATAAGTGGTGTGAAAATATCTGCATACTTTTGGCATCATAAAATAAATAAAAATATGAAACATGTTTTGAATTTTACTTTCATTAATCACCGACATATATGCACAATGTTACCAAATTTTAGAGAGAGAGAGAGAGAGAGAGAGAGAGAGAGAGAGAGAGAGGAGAGTCACAAATCTTATGCTCCCTACCGACATATATGCACAATGTTACCAAATTTTAGAGAGAGAGAGAGAGAGAGAGAGAGGGAGAGGAGGGCTGTATAGCCATTTTGGCCCCCCTAACAAAGTACCTTCCTATTCGGAACCGTCTGCTGTTCCACTTTGCCATTCCTCAAAACATATACAGGTCTTTTTATATCTATGTCCCAATTTCTTTTTAACCGTAAATAGTGTCTTTGGTGTTTGAAAGTAAATCGAACTTCTTTTTCGACTGGAAATTGAACCATGTCTCGGCGAAATCGTCTGATATCATAGATCTTTACTTGCTCTAAAAATAAATATTGGTATAATCATATGTTATCTTGATACATTATGTATACTCTTATACAATTCTTATGATTGGAATTTTTAGCAAGATTAAATGTTGTTAAACTCTGTATAATGAGAATTATGAAGGATAATTTTTCACTATTTAATTAAAATTGTTTTGTCAAGCGTGTTTGCCAATTAAAAAAAAATTATAATGGGTCAATAAGATACATTAAAGAAAAAAATCGTTGCTACGAGGGATTATCAAAAAAGTTCGTGACTAGCGCCGTAAAATTAAAATCGCTTTAGGTACATCAATGAATTTTAAAATATCTAGCTAGCATCATCTTTTCCATCTAAAGAATAAATTTTTAATGAATTAGTAATGTTTTTGTAAGCAATGGTATGTCCAGGCGGCGCAACCTACATCCTGAGTGTAACTGAGAAAAATTCTTTTAATATGAACATTTGACATCCAAAAATCCCGTTAATTCAAGTATGTGTTGGGACACATTTGATCCATAAGATATGAAATTTTTACTTCATTCTGGAAGTTTTATGAAATTTTATCGTAAATTTTACATGGAGTGTCCGAACAAATGAGGCCTTGAAAATGACGTCAAAAGGGGGGAGGGGTTTCCCTTTCCAACATTCTGATAAGTTTTGCCCCTGAAAAAAACTGGTATAGACCAAGAAATGTTTAAACTGGCTACAGAGAAATAATATGCATCCAGAGTGCTTGTATTTTAATGTCAAAATAGATACAGAGAGAAACGGGATGCACAGTTAATGTCGATTTGTAGTCAAGGTATGAAAAGTAATCACGTCAAAAAATGACGTTGATCATGTGTTGTAAATATTTAACTACTACTAGCAAAATATGCGGGCACTATCAAGCGAAGATCTCCCCCAATGTATTAATCCATTTGGAATATTATATTCATTGAAAGCCGCTTTTCATGACATTGTAAAGTCATATAAACAAGGCTGATTTAAGACCTTACTCAGATCCAGGGAATCTCATCAAAATAAGTGTATAGGTAGAAAACGCGAACATTGAAAAACAATGAAGTTGTCGGACGTCATGAAAATAAACGACGACAGCGCCGGGTGATCATATAATGTCGGTTTTATTTTATAATATTTTGGCAAATAATGAACGTATCAAGCTCAAATTTTCAACATTTCTTTATGTTTTGCTTTTTTTATGTTCCATATAAAATTTGAAAGCATAGACTACATAGTACTAATTTTATAGCCTCAGTCCACGAACTTTTTTATAACCCCTCGTATGTGTTTTGGTTGTTAAGCAAAAAGACAAAACAAATAATACCGAAAAAAAAATTAGATTATCAGCTACTTTAAATCTTTATAAAACCATAAATTACAAACATGTATACTTAAAAAAACATACTGACTACATGTACTTACAGGGAAACATTAAGTCTTGTCTTTCTTTTGTTATGGAATTATAAAATTCAGGATGACCATGGTGATCACGGCTAAATTTTGTTTTTAATTTTGATGCAGAAAAAATGCTCAATATGCAATAAAGTTAGAAATCATATGACCAAATTCATTCCTACAATAAGAAATCTAACATTAAACCTTATATAAATAGGATTATACCAACAAGAATAACGAAAATGTACGGAAGATACTTTGAAAATATTCTATGAATCCAATTGTCAAATTTGTTTTGACGAATAAAAATCTTTATTATTTCATAGAATTTCTTTAAGCAAAATTAATTCCTACGAGGGCCGTTCAAAAATTACGCGGATTGTGCTATTATTCACTCTTACATACGTCATATAGTTATAAAATTTCACAGAAATATGTATCTTAAAGATTCCAATAAATTTTGGGCAAAATTTCTGTATTTTAAAAAAATTCTACTAAAATTTTCGGTATGTTGATATCGTTGATGGAGAGGTACGGCGCACGACAAAAAAACGGAAGGAAAAGCATGCGGATTCAAAAAATTAACTCATTTATTTTCTAAAATTCGAGATATTTTTCAACAATTTTCTCAAATGTACCTTTGAATTGTTCTATTATTATGTTCGGACGTAATATTTGGAGTACTACCAGAAATACAGTGATTTTTCTTTGATGCGATTCCCGTGAAAACGACTGTTAAAATGACGTCTCCTGAATTGACGGCGCACCACACTTTTGTTAAAATATGTGTAATGCTCGAGATATCGGCAACATAGATCCAAAACATGCATAATAAAACATGTAGTAAGCTAGGCTACTCGTGACATTCGCCCACAAATAGCAAATTGAAATTTAGACAGTTAGACCTCTGTAAAAAGGCTATACGGGAGGACGGGAAGAAGATTATAGACGAAAAGTTAACTTTATCCGGACTGTAAAGAACGTGATTGAGAGTCACCAATATCACACTATATCTCATAAGTAGTGTTTGGTTTTAAAACAAAAAAAAGAATATTCTTTACTTGTTTAATAGCTTTTAAGCTTGACAAGAAATGGTGTTTTGATGTTGAGTAGATAAGGTAACTCAAACTATACAGGTACTCAAGGGAAAATGTTGAGAAAATGAAAGCTCAATCACATATTTTTTATAATGCTTGTGACGTCGAAGATTTTGCTGCGCCGTGACTTAATGGTATGTCCTGAAAAATCACTCAAAATTGATACCAATTTACAACATTTTGATATGAAATTTTGAAGACCATATAAGAAAAGATTCTTTTATATTATTTGTGAAATTTTGCCCTATTTTTCGTCAAATATTACTTCTGTGCAACAAGTCCGCGTAATTTTTGAACGGCCCTCGTATAATAACAAATTCTTTATTACATTCTTTTTTTTGGTCCTAACTTTTTAAAGGTAAATGTATAGCAAACAATTATAAAGTGTAAATTTTGCAGGTATATGCCTCTTGATAATAATATACTTGTAACTGATTTATATATATATATATTTATTTATTCTGCTTGGGTTTTAATGAAATAAATCACGATCGTTCATTTCAAAGTAACAGGTCATATTTCTGCTGATCAAAGTATGATCACATATTTATTAAAAAAAAATTTTAAGATTATGAAAATAGTGTCATACAAACAGAAGTCTTACATCTTTTCCATGGTAAACAACTTAACCAGACATCAATGAACGCCTGTGAATACAAGCACGAGATTAAAGTAGTCTAGGCGTTAGAGAGAGAGGGAGAGAGAGAGAGCACTCAAGGGATATTACACACAATAATGAGAGTACATAAAATTGTAATAAAATGACCTCTGAGGACACAAAAATTTACCTGTGTTAATAGTCTCTTAAAATTCCAAGTACAGATTGAGCTTATGCTTTCAAAATTGAATAATTTGACAAAATTACAAAATGCAATTACAAATGTAATCAATATTTTTTTCCTTCGGGAATTGAAAGGGTGCACTCAGATTTGGAAATAAACGTTTATTATTTTTTTTTCTCATGATGAAGCAAAAATCACAAGAGAAGAGCTTTTGAAAAAAAAATACGCTCTCCTTCTATTTGAAATTCTTTAGAACTTATTTAGGCCAAATCATATATTTGCTCAAATAAACATGTATAAAAGAAAGTAATAAATCGTGTGATATTGTTTAATTTTTTTTAAACCATTCCCTGTTTAATTTTTTTCATTTAAATAATACAAGTTTTTAAAATGAAAATTTTATGAAGTACATCTTTCGATTACATGTAGTGTGAATGTACATTTATGTCCAAAAGACACTATATTTTATCAATTCTAAACAAGAATCTACACTGTAAAAAATGCGCTTAGAAAATAAACACTTCCATTACGTGTTTTGACCTAAACATGTATAAGATTGTGTTTAACAGCTAAACACTTAGGTCTAAACGTGTGTTAGATTGTGTTTAACGGCTTAACACTTATGTCTAAACATGTGTTATATCTAAATGATGTTAAGATTTAACACATGTTTAGATATAAGTGTTTAGAAATTGAACACTTTTCTGTGAAGTGCAGAGTTATCTTCCCGGAAATGACGCATATTTATTCGAATGATAAATAGAGCGGTTATCGAAACAAAGGAAATCCCAATGTTACTAAAGAAGATGGATTAAAGGAAGTGAATGCTAATCAAAGTGATAACCATGAAGAGATTGTGAAATGCATTGAAACTGCAACATTACTGCGATAAAAGGTATGTTAACTATTATTTTCATTTTACATAAATTGACCATGATGGGCTACGTAAATAGACATGCGTTTCCACATGTAGCTGTAGATCAAGATTACCTTCGGTTATATATTTTGTATTCCTGAAATCTAGAAAGGAGTACACTATATAGAATATCAATAATATCTATAACAGTATCAATACTAAATAGTGGTTATATAGACGAGGTTCAATAAAAGTAGCACAATAATAGCTATCAAACATGTAAAAAAAAAAAAAGATTCATACAAATCCAGCCATTGAAAAGCATATTTTGATAAAATTTGAATTTCTTTCTTACAGGATATGGTCCACATCGAACTTGAAAGCAAAAATACATGTATCAGAGAAACTGTTGCCATCTCCAAGTCCACAATGACATGCCATCGTTCTTACATTTTCAACACTTCTTACTTTCTAGGGGAAACTGAGTTTTGTGAAGTCTGCTGTTCGTTATAGCTTTGAACAACCTAAAAGTATTCTCAAATAACGACAGTGGATTACCTACTGACGGTCACAGATGAAAACAAATTATGCGTGTGTTGCTCAGTGAAAAATTGCTGGAAGTTAAACTTGATACAGACATGAGAAATAACTGCTTGCTAATCTGGTTAGAATTAAAACCAGCGTGTAAAAATTTAATGTATATTTAATTTAAAATTCTTTATAAATAATCCCTGTTTGAATGTTCATTGAATAAAACTCAAAATGTAAACAATTGTTATTTTTTCAGCTTTCTTGTAGGAAGACAACGAAAACATCCAAGTGTTTAATTTGTAAACATGTATCATAACATGTTTTGTAAAGTGTTTAAAGTCTAAACATGTAAGTGTTTAGGGTCTAAACACTTTCCGTTACACGTAATGAAATTAAATGTGTTTAGAATTTCAACGCATCAAAAAAAGTGTGACAAGAAAGTGCTTAGGAAAGTGTCTATCATCTAAACACATTTTTTACAGTGTAAATCCTCTTTCAAAATATTTTGCAATTTAGCAAATGATAACCCGTGTTAAACTGATCATCTAGTACATTAAAAGAATATAGAAGTTTAATATCGCAAATCATTTCTGATCTTGCACTCTTTTCTGTCTCCTATGTGATGTTTTTTCTTCTGAATACACACAATTGTTCTCCGAATTGACTATAATTACGTACGATTTTACTGTCTATTGTCATTTGTTATTTACTTATGAAATATTAAATCATTTACTCAAGAAAAAAACACAATCGAGATATCAGAATCCATTTCAAAAGTCAGCACTACTTCTCATTTTATTAAAATCCTTCACTAATCTAGGCCAAGATCCCTCGATGTCAATAGAAGGTACTTTGTTGTATTCATTGAACAACTGTGTAAAAATTTCATTTCCCAATGTAAACATGAATTCCATTTACTTAGGTACACAAAACTGACTTTGTTGTTTAGAAAAGCAAGGCGAAATGTGCATAAATGATTGGAAATAAATCTTAAAAGTGTGAAAAAGTGTTGTATTGTCTCGAAGGCGGATATTTAATAAAGTAAATGAAACATTTCTCAAAGCATGGCTGAGAGATATGTTTAGAAAATAATGTCAAAAATGGATGATATACACCGAGCCTCTCCATTTTATTTTTCGTTTGATTAAATCAATGATTTTTAGTCCGCATTTGTTACATTTTTTTTTTGTGTGTGTGTTTTTTTTTTTTTTTTTTTGTAACATTTTAGCAACAATATAAATGCTAACTAGACTTGTCATAAATATTTGTTAAAAAAAATTATAATTTCAAAAGATGTAGGATGAAACTTATATACTATACACACCTCTCTCCCCTCTCTTAAGTTTTAAATGATCGCGATTTTTTAAAAAGCAACTAGTATAATAGATAAGAGGAAAGTCAAGTATATATCATTTTCCTCCAAATCTATTCTAAACAATGCAATTAAAGTATTAGTGGACAAATATTTTTTTTGACAAGAACAAATGAGAGGAGTGATTATTCAGTGAAAAACCTTAGTTTAATATTTTTTTAAGTAACTTCCTGTTTTTTATCGAAAACTGTTGATAAAATTAAGTGTTCTGTATGCAGTAATTTTCTTTCTAGCTGTAACCGATTTATGCTCGTCTATGTTACCTCACCCAATATTTTCTGTTAAAAAATAGCAACATCACCGTAATTTAATATTTAAAAAGGATATCTTTCAGAAAACAATATCTTACTTGAGATCTAACCTAGCAACATCACCGTATGTAATAAAATATTTAAAAAGGATATCTCTAAACACACAATACCTTAATTTACATCTAACTTGATACGCAAAAAAAAAGTGATATTAACTACACTAAAGTGTACTAATTCTTTTTAATAATTTTATTTTATTTATTTATTCATTTACAATTATGTCAGTTTAACAACAGTTGCGATTAAAACTCTTTTTTGTATATATTGCATAATATTTAGTCAATTTTAACTGTAGAAATTAATATTGATAATTTTTAAATCCCATTAGTTCTGTTGATTGTAATATGTATTTCATAATGTTTATGTTGCATCATATTTCTGGATTTTTTTTTTTTAATCCTGATTTTTTTCTTTTCAAATTTAATGTGCTTTTTTTTAAAGTTTCCGACTATTTAAAGGAATAATCAAGAAACGACAATAAAATAGACTTTTCTAATTAAAATCTTACAAGAATAAATCATTGATATCAAAATACTTAATAGTTCAGATCTAGCTATGATTATGGAGACAAATCAAAATAATCATCTGATCTGCAAAAATTATCATTACTAATGCTTCCGGGATTTTTGATGCTTCGAAACATTTTTTTTAAAGTTTGAATGAATTAAAATTATTGTAATTTCTCATAAATGGAATGATTTGAACTCCTGATGTATTTTTAATCTTCTAGTTTATGTTTATATGTAAATCTACTTTGCAAAAAAAACATCAGAAAAAAATGTATCATTCTTACCTTCATAAACATAACTATCATCTATTGATATAGCAGACACTAAGTAGACACAAAGAAGACAATAGACTGAGGGATGCATTGTTACCCGTCAGGGGTACCCCGTCCTCAGTTTTAATGTGACCAAACTCTCCCAATGTCGGGATATTTAAACTCTTGTGACACAATATACATTTTAAAGACAGTACCCTAAATATCAATATCTTTAAAGTTTCTTAACAGAAAGGCTACTGCTTTACCCATGATTTCCAGTACTAGCACAAGCTTTTCCGGGTATTTTAAAATTTTGATTTAACCCTAGTATTGATCAAATACATGAACTTGTTACACTGGATAGTGACGTAATCAAAAAATTCCAATCCACAGACTAAATGTTGAAATATTACAAAACATTTAATTGGTAAAATACAAGAAATATTGAAACTTATTATTGTTCAGTAGACACAATTGATAATAAAGAAACATTTCTAAACATGCAAAATTTCATAACATCAATTTCATTAGACACCAAATAATGACAAAGATAGAGATTCATCATTGAAAGTATTACTAAAAATAAATTTAGACCCGTTTTGATTATTTTTTAAACCAGTCTTTACACTATTTTCACTTTACATACATGTAAAAACATTAAAAATAAATAGATATATAACATAAAAAAAATCAAATCACATTAAATCTATCATTCAGAAAAAATCCTAACAAAGCTGGGTGCAATACCAATCAGTCGAACCTTTACTTTCAAATACGTAAAAAAAAATTATTATTTTTTTTATTTTTCAAACATATTGAGAAATATTTTTAAAAGGAAATATAGCATAATTAATTTACTGAGTAAAATTTTACAAATACATGTAGATTAGCACAAAGCTCATATTAGTATACTCGGTATTTAAATATGTTTCTGATATTAATTTCATAGAAGGATGCATTTAATCAATGGACTTAAAAAACCCCGTACTATTTGCAATTGAAAGTTTTTTCCTTTCTTTCTTTCTTTTTTTTTTTTTTTTTTGAAAACTAAGGATTACGTTGAATATTCACTCTAATTTAGACATAGGTGTTAGTTAAATTATTTTGGCATTAAGTTTATTTATATTTGAAGATCGATTATTTCAAACCCTCTTTTGTTCCAGATCAAAGTTAACTACAGGAAGGGTTTTTCCCCAAGATTTACCTTAAACATGGAGAATAAATCATAAATCTATGACAGCTTCCCCCGTATATTACATACTTACGATCATATGATAAAATAATGCGAACAATAAACTATATTTATACGATATGAAAAAAAAATCACAATTCAAAGAATGAAGTACAGGGTTTCATAATATCTATTCTCATTCCAGTTTTCTAGAAAAAAAATCTAACATAAAATCTAACATAAAATGTCCACTGGAAGACTTAAAACTGTAAGAACATCCATTTCTAATTTCATGTTAAAAGAGTGATTATTGAACCTCTTAAAACGTGAAAAATTGATCCAGCTTTGGCTAAAAAATGCGTTAATGTCAATGTTATACCTCATACTGTTATAAAGTGATTAACTGATTAAAAGAAATAATTGACAACCATTTTATCTCTTTTTAATTAATATGTGGCCTTATTGTTCTCCTTTGAACCCTTGAATTTTTCTTTTAGAATATCAAACTCCTTCCGAAAAAAAAATAAAGACCTTTTATTGGCCAGATAGCGAGGAGTCAAAAAAGTATCTCCTGTCATTTGCAATGCAGTATTCAATAATTTCAAAAATGGGGAAAAAGTGCTTTTCAGGGGGAACCTGTTGAACATGGTGCAAATTCACAATTCTTCGAAGATTAAAAATAATTTAAAAGCACATTCTATTACCCCCCAAAAAATGATCCTTAATATTCAGATATTGTGAAATTTATTTGCAAAACTAGTATTTTTTTATTCCAGTGTCTAACGAGAACAGATATTATAAAAGCCTTTGTACTTAGTTCTCACAAGGAAACATACATGTATTTTGGATCTTATTTTAACGAGAAACTTCATCACAACAAAAGTTTTCTTCTGGAGAGAATATGTCACACGACAATCGTTCTATTTCATTTAATATCCAATCTAGTGTTCCCTCTGTTAGCCTGGAATTCGATATTGCAATTCTGAAGAAATTTGGCAGTTCACCAAGAGGTTGGTAAGCTAACATCATGCTTCCCTTTAAAGTCATCGATTCTTTGATTTTCGGAGCAACCTTATGGAAATAAAAATTATTATGTAATGCTTTTAAATGGTCAGTCAACTTCACTGTTTACATAGTTTGAACATAAGTGTCCACTTTTAGTAAGATATAGGCTTAAAAACGAATGTCAAAATTTTAAATAGTAGTAAGTATACAAAATACTCTAACTCAACCTTGCTTCGAAGATCCCTTCGTTCCGTAGAGGTAAGATTGGGTGTAAAGAGTTGAGGCGGCTCATACCAGAAACAAACACTGGGGCCCTCAATCTGGAACGGTATTTAATGATAAATATATCATTTACATAGGTAATTATATGGGAAATTAAGGGTTCTTTGGCTTGTTTTATTTTCTCCTCTGTTTTCTTTCAATATTGTTTTATCTTCTTACCTCATCTAGAACAGGTACAAAATGCGCCCTTTCTTTGACTTTTTGCTCAAGACACCTTCAAAAATAAAAAAAAATAGAATAAAGTAAAGGTAAAAAAAATTAATAAATTTTACTTTTTTCACAAGACATTTGTGAAAAATAATTCATTACATACCGAGCTAGTTGGAAGTTTTTGTTTATGACATCTTCAAAACCACTGTCACCCTGTAATTAAAAATTCAAACTTAAGGTACATGTAAAGCACTTGTCGGAATTTCATGATTTTTCATCGGAACAACACTTAGCAAGATAACTGAAGAATATTTTCTAAATCGGCATGAAAGTTCAAAGATAAAGTTCAACAAGTATTAATTTTTCGCATATGCGGTTAATATTGTTCGTCATTCAAACACCCTGATTTTAAGGAAATGTTATTTTTATGCACCGACGATTAGAAATTCCTAATTTTATGATTAATAAACAACTGAGTTTGAAAATTAAATAACATTTTTAAAAAACATAATTAATATATATTAATTATATTTCATAAAATTCATGGAAACAATTTAAAGTAGAACTGTGAAAACATTTCATTCAGACAGTCATGTACTATTTTGATAGAAACTTTAAAATGCATTCTTCCTAAATAACTGCACGATCATGATTGTTATTCCTTTTATATTATTATATATTTACGTTATTAGTTGAGACAACCGGGGATTTGAAAGCATACTTGAGTTTATAGTTTTATCGTTTGCTAGCAAAAAGAGTTTGCTCCTTGTATTTTAAGCAACCCATATACTAAAAAATATATACTAAAAAAAATTTTTTTAAAAATAAACATAGGATTTATCGAGGCAGGTCAAGATCTGGACCTTTGATCGCCCATTACCAATTTGTTCAGACCAGCGAGCGCAGATCTGAAACAATTATTTTGGTATATTGTTTCCTTTTTCTTTGTCCTATTCAGTTGACCCTGTAAAGAGACAACTCATTTTTGTAAAGAAGATTGTTTAAGAAATAGTGGATTCGGGGGTCTAAACACCATGCATTACATTTTGTTCAAAGAAGAGTCTGGTGCATTTGGGGAAGGGGGATGCGGGTAAGACCTGAACTCAACCCAGTTAAACAACTGAGAATGAGAACAGAAAAAGTAATACAGGTAGTTCGATCTGTCACCATTCATTTATATTCAGTTTATTAACATTTTCTCAATCAATAAAAAACACAAGATATGGTAAATCAAAGTAGATGTATGTTACCGTAAATTTAAATTCAGTTTGCTTACTTTGGACCTCCACATAAGCCATAACTTGAAGACGTCATTATGTCGACCACACTGAATAGACTTGTCACCGGTGTCGTAGGTGACGTCATAGAATTTGTCCGTCTGATACAGATAGTCTGCACACAACTCATTTGCTCTTTGTAGCTCACCCTAAAAAAACACAATCCATATAATTATCAAATACGCATATATTATACTTTCCGATCAAAAAGAGCTTGTATTTAAAAATCAGTCTTATTGGTTGATTCATTGGAAATATTACCAATTTCCGAGTCATTCTTATTCGTTTGAATGAAAAAATATTAGCGGGAATTTAAATGAACATTTACCGAGTGGCGGACCAAGATGGCTGAACACTGCAAAGGTACTCCCATCATTTTATGAGGATTCCAGGTCATGGAATCACATCTAGAACCAAAAAAAAAACTTAAAGCTAGAGAGTTAACAGCTTATAGCATTTTATCTTTGTCAAAAATACTCATGAATGTTTCTTTTTGGCTCGTATATTTGATTGGAAACAGATAATTGACACTGAACAAAGTATTGTCAATGATAACATGACATATATTTTGAACTATTGTATAATTATAGCTTCTTTTAAATGCTGGTAATCTTTTGTACCGAAGTCGCCCGCGTGGCGCAGTGGTTACAGCGTCTGCTCTACAGTCGATCCTTACGTCGCGGGTTCGAATCCCACTGTGGGACGTGGAGATCCTTCAGATGAGGCAATATAAATTTACCGAGATCCCGTAGGTACTAGCACGAAAAAGATCCATACCAAAAAATGGCCCTGAGTGTCGAGTATAAGATAAAATTTGTAGCGCTCCACCGGCAAGTGGTGGCGTCGCCATATGAGTGAAAAATTCTAGAGAGGGACGTTAGATAACATACAATCAATCATAGTACCGAAAACACAATTCATTCCAAGGGAAATAACTTTTAAGTGTTTAAATGATTTACATGTTTCTCTGTTTAAAAATTGCTAACTGCATTCGGATTCAAAAAGTTATTACTAAAACATTTCTGACATGTTTGATTTCAGAGGTAACCATAAAATATTCAAAAAGTTTTAGTGCAACGTTGTACAGACATTATCGATATCCATTTATTTGTTCGTCTGAAAGCTAAAGTAAAGTACCTGTGGTTTGAAGTTGTAATTCTTTCATTCCAGAGTACTTTTATTTTTGAAGGTGTATTTTCAGTTCATTTGTTTTACACAGGTGATATTGTTTATAATGCAGACAAGTTGACTTTCTCTGACAAATCATTAACCAAGTACTGTATACTAAAACTGTGTCACAAAGCTCTAGAATTCTTTTGCATATTTCTACTTAGGACGTTAAAAAACAACATTAGAACTTTATTATTGAATGTTCTCAATATACCTGTTTACGCCTTGCAGCAGGTGTTTGTATTTCCTGGACAATAAGGCCGAGCCTCCCCATGCACCCTACAATTTATAAGAGAGGTGCTGAATTAAAATCCGTAAGAAAAGCTGAAGCTTCGGGTGGCCAGCTATATATAGTTTACTATCCTAAAATGCTTACATCCACATGAAGCCATATGCCGTATTTGTTACAAATGTCAGCTATTTTATCTACGGGGTCGTAAGCTCCTAACACTGTCGATCCGCAGGTTGCATTCACCATGAGAGGGATACCATTCTCGGCGATAGTCTTTTTGATTTCGCGTTCAAGGTCATTCGTCTTCATTTTACCTCTAAATTATATGGGTTTTATAAGCATGACTTTATATTAATTAGTGCATATATTTCATGAGTTTCTTACCTTTCTCTAATACCGTAACTTTTTTATTCTTGACTGTATATCAGTTTAATATAATGAAAGTTTCATGCCAATTGTTTCTTTTGATTATTTAATCAGTTTTAAATGACACATGATATATGACACTAAATGACCAAATGATATTGTTTTCTTTATCTTTACTCTGGAACCGAGAGCTAAGGATTCTGATTTATATCTGTGAAACTAATAAAGAATAATTTTTTTGTCATTAGTAAAAACTATTTTTAAAAATTTGAAAATCAGATATTAAGTTGGTATCGAAACAAATAAGATATAAAGTTTTACAAACCTTTCATCACAAGGGATAGCACAAACATTTTTCATTCCAATGCCCAGCAAAATTGCTGCTTTCTTGATCGAAAAATGGCTCTGAAAGTGCATATAAATGGAATTGCAGATATTAAATCATATTGACAACACAATGAATTTGTCGAAAAAAGTTTAAATTTCAACAAAATATAACAATATTTAATCAAAATAAGATTTGCCTAAATTTCGTAAAGAATAATTAAATATCTTTTTTTAATTGTCATTGTAACGGTCCTATTTGTCCGTTTTGAAATGCTATTTTTAGATGGACAAAGTAACAACGGAATAATGATACTAGTAATTAAATACATCCTTTACTATATCACTATACATTCGTTAGAATACACAGTACTGCACTTAATTGTATAAAGTAAACAGTATTAAAAGTATATTTTTACTGCATGTATACATGTATAAAAGAACGATGTGTTTTTATATTGTGTTTTAATACGTTCCTTCACAATACCTGTGCTGATGTGTACACCACAAGTTTTTGTCCAATATACATCCCATTCTCCTTCATTTCCGGAAATTTCCTGTTCCTTGCTAACATCATTGCGTACAGATTGGAAATCGTACCACCTACAAAGTAAAATTTGTAAGTAATTTTCTTTTTTTACATCTTCGCTAGCCAAGGGTTTTTGATACGCTACTCTCCTTTTTTTACTATTCTTTACTTTGAGATAATAATATATTTAAACAGAAACTAAATGTCCAAACACATCTGAGAATCCAGGCTAGTCAATTCAGAAAAATAAAAACCATAAATTTTGTTTCTAAATACGTGTAAATGTTTCTGTTACGAATAATTATTAAACTGAAAACATAAATTCAAAGGTGTAAAAATAAATTGATACCTATGGTAAGAAGGCTTATTTATGAGTGTTTGAATTATGTGAAGTTTTGATTTTTTGCCGTCAGTTCGGTTTCGTTATCGTACTTGAAGCAGAAAAATGAAAACTGAATAAATGCAGAAAACCTCTGTAGATACATCAATTTTTCATATAAAACAACATTCTAGGTATCAAAAGTAAGTTTGATGTGTACTCTAACAAATACTAAAAGTTTGTCTAAAATAAATTATTTAGAACACTGGAAGATATTGGAATATTTTCGTAAAATGAGTACTTATGTTAACTTCCGAGAAGGCTGAACTTTTATGAAACAATATTTAATTCCACAAGTTATTGAACTACCTTGACAAATCACTTAGATTTTGAAATAATGCCTCGTATATTTATTTCAGCGCCGAATCTGTTTCTTATTCGGAACTGGTCAAACAACTGTAATAAACAGTTCTTTATAAGGATAAAGAGAAACCAGAGGTACTGTGAGCACTGAGATCACTTTAATGATACCCCATGCCTCCCATATGATTATTATGACAATTAAAAGTCCATCTTTTGTTTTGCGAGACCCGAACTAAGTGTCAGATCAAAAAGTAAAATAAGAGGTCACAAAGGCATTATGTAATAAAGAATATGTGAAAGTATCATTAAATCTTATTCAGTGGCATAGGAAGAATTGTGGAAAAGAGAGGGATATACCCTTCAATATTTAGAAGAATGGTAGTTTCCATGTTTTGCTAAAGGAGCCTAAATTATTAATTTAAGATTAAAAAATAAAATAGAAGGTGAACTTTGGCACTAATTAACAAATATTCTGTTAAAGTCTCATTAAGTTCTGTGAATCCTCATTAAATTTTATTCAGTGGTAGAAGAGGAGTTGCGGATAAGAAATGGGTGACCCAAAGCATATCAGACGGACGGGCGGACGTATAGACAGAGAGGGGCGTACAGACGGACGGATGGACAAACATCTCATCACTATATATTTTTGCCATATAAATAAATTTATGATAGAATGAATTTTAATATACATGGGTATTCGGAACTAGCATAATGACAACACGAAAATATTCCATTATCTTCCAGTGTTCTAAATATTTATTTTAGACAAATTTTTTGTAATTGTTAGAGTACATATCAAACTTACTTTTGATACCTGGAATGTTGTTTTATATGAAAAATTGATGTATCTACAGAGGTTTTCTGCAGATTCACGCTTCGTGGCGATTCAGATTTGTTGCATTGTAAAAGTATGTCGACTGCTTCAAGTACGATAACGAAACCGAACTGACGGCAAAAAATCAAAACTTCACATGATTCAAACACTCATAAATAAGCCTTCTTACCATAGGTATCAATTTATTTTTACACCTTTGAATTTATTAATTATTAGATCCTAAATTAATAATTATTAGTAACAGGTCAAAATTCGGAACTGGCCAGACGACTGTGCATTATCTCCATGAATTATTTTGCTGCAGATTACGGGAGATGTCAGGGTTTTGACCAGTGTGATTACTGCACCTTACATGTAAGTCTATAGTTTGTATTGTGATGTCAGAATCGTATATATTCTGTGCTATCATCATTTGAATTTTAAAAAATAAATCTGTCTTTGATCTGAATATTCATCGTCTAAATATACACTGAAAAGATACGTGAAATGATGTTTTATTCTTATCTCAAATTGGAGACAACATTTATTTTGAACCTATAAATGATTTTTGTTCTGAGAACTCTTACATATTTCTATAATAAATATATACTATCATAGAATAGAGTTGAAGTTAAACTGTTTAATCTTTAGACTTTTTTGATACTCTACTATTGTCAACTTAAAATAAATATTCAAATACTGAAATGTATTGTTCTATCTCTTAGATTTTATTTTCAATATTAAACCATTTAATAACGAACTGAAAACATGACATATAACTGTGGGCTACACGTACCTGGGGTGAAGATCCCATCCCCTCCGTCCTTCCAGCCTACAAAGGATCGCATCCTACGTAGTATGAGGTCTTCCATTAGTATAAATACTGGACTAACTTCAAACGTAAACCTATGGCCAAGAAAACTGGATGTGTTCAATTGAACATTTTACAGGAAGGTATTAAGAAAGAAAATGGTAAGAAACATACGATGTTTTTATTGAAACTTTCACACATATTACAAATATACACATGTATGTACAAACTTCTAAATACATATACGGTATGTACAAAATAGATTCAGAAAAGAACCAAATTATAGTTGGAACGTGTTTTAGTTTCAATTTGGACTTAGAAATGATCTATATCTTATTTCTTCAAAACAGGATTTTAATTCATTTTGCTTATTAGTAAAATCTGTATATATTTTAAATATCAATCGAGTATGTTGATTATGATTATTTCACAGATAAACTGTAACTTACATATTAGCATTGACAGTCGCCGTCAGCCACTCCCCGGCCACGCCCACTACATCCAGACCCGTAGACAGCTGGTTTAGGAAATGGGGATGACCTGAATGGACAACGTCTGAGATAAGTGCATATGAGACAGGGAAAGTGCTCTAGGCTATGGGTAATTCAGAATTTTGTGATTAAAAATAAACCTAAGTATAAACGCTTCAAACCCGATACAATGTATATGTGTTAACTAGGGAGTATTTTTTGGTATTACCGATAATTAATTATCATCAAAGGACCCTAACAGTAAGCTGGAAAAGTTTAAAGGGCATAAATATTTTTATTCTTTCTTTAAAGGAATCTTTATCTTAGAACGTTCCTGCTATGTATTCTAAACTATATGGTTATTGCAGCCCGGAGGACCGGGCTGCTCTATACATATAAGTTTAAGTGTTGGTGTATGGGGATTGGGGCGGGAGTAGTTATTCAGAATTAAAGGTTTTCTAAACATTGAAAAGATTGTTAATAAGAATCTTCTTTCCTGTATAAATTTCGAGATACGTAATATATATACTTCCATAAAGTGAATCTGTAAAAATATGTATGTTTTTCATATTTAATATATAAAGTTGCTTATCATCTACTATAGGAAAAATGACAGGTCCCTTTTTTTAGAACATCGAATTTTACTTCTCGCATAAAAACGTACTCTGCACAGTTTGTGCTTTATACTCGGAAATTGAAAATTAAAATGCATTTTTGAATATAGGTGATGCATGTGTCTAACTTCAATTTATATTTCATGCAGCCAACATTTACTTGAGGAATTGAGCAAGTTTAAAATTGTATCGTTTTTGTTTGATTTTTATCCGACTATGAGTTTTCAAAATATTCGCCACTATCGTCTCCATCAATTAGATGCATATCTTTTCACACATATCAAAGCGGTTTGATGATCAAGATTTATTTCCATTGTTTACTTGTATTTCCCGGGCGACAATTGATGGTTACATCAATGTTTTCTTGTTTCCTACTGTTGCTGATTTAGCTGCAGATCTGTAGCTCTCCGAAAAAATATATATTGAACATGAGGGCCACCCATTGAAAAAACTGTATATTTATTGCGCACAAAAAAGTCTTTTTTCGGAGAGCTACAGATCTGCAGCTAATTCTTATACACCTTAATGAAGGTTGTTATCAACCACCATGTGGGATGCTCAGAATCAGCAATAGCTGCAGATCTGTAGCTCTCCGAAAAAAATATTGATAGTCCGGTCTATCAATATATACAGATCTGCAGCTATTGCTGATTCTGAGCATCCCACATGGTGGAGTTACCTGACTTCACGCAGTACTTCAGGGTCTCCTTACAATCACTCAGAATCTGGTGTAAATCCCGGGGGTCGGCATCCACAGCAAGACAGTCACTCATCGTCTCCTGAAGCTGGTGGGGGTGGTGAAAATCCACTACTTTTACCTTCCCGCCGAACTCATCAGTCATGTAACTATTCAGAATTTTCGCCATTTCCAGCATGAAATCCTTTTGTAATTTATTATCTGTTTGTAAGTCTAAAAATATATATTTTATCAGAGGTGTTTACTCTGTAATGTTTGTGAATTTTTTTAGATTTGTTATATCAGTCATTTGTGCATAAATCACGTACGACGTTAATATGACTAAGCACATTATAATATGGAAAGGTGTGACAGGAAACCTATTAAAGTCGACCTTACAATTAAACAGTCACTTTATCAATATGACTTTTTCTTTCGCCTCTTTTCTACAGTAAATATTTTGCTTTTTTCTCCGCTAATTGTAAACCTTGAAGGGGAATAATATATGTTTGCTCGAATATATCCAATCGAAACATCGTGATAGATTTAAGGGAAAAAATAGCTTAAACATAAAGATGATGTTAATCGTATTTGAAATTTTATTCAAAATATTAATGTTATGGTAACATTTTAAGGAATTTATAAACATGAATTGTGTGTATTCTCAAAAAATGTTAGATAGCAACTTTTGAAAATAAAGTTTCTGGTCCTTTTCAGATGAAAACTTGCGACTAAGATAAAAATAAGACAGCTCTATAATTTTTTTAATGTTAAAGATATATTTTTTAGAGAGAACAAAATTTTTAAAATATTACAAATAATATTTCGGAATTTTTTATTTCGTAAAATATTATTTGCAAAAATATAAAAATAATAGACAAGATTTATATGACCTACTAAAGTTTTAATTGACACTCAACAGAGGAAAAGAATTAATCTGTCTTACTAGTACATGTGGTCCTAAGATATTTTTGTGAAAGGGTAACTGCTTTGTTCCTGTAAGTATGCTATTACGATTTAGGGTATATTCAATACCTTTGTAAAATAGACCTTCATATTTCTGCCACTCCTGCTTGCTGATGTGATATCTCATCTCCTTATTGTCTCCCAAATCTTTGCCTTTATTTCTAATTTCCACTTTTGAATTCCCATGTTCTTTAGAACTAGATACTCTACGCGATGAAATGCCAATCTGCTGTTTTTTCATCATGTTTCCTCTTTTTCAGGTCAGAAATTCTATACTTCTCTGTAAAAAAATATTATTCATATTTATACCTTTATGTATGGTATCTTGAAAGTAATTTAAATAACTAAGTAGATTTTATGTAAATGCAATCACTCTAGCTGCAATTACTAATTGTACAATCGATTATTTAAAAAAAAACATATAGATTGTACATGTTTATTAAGAGATTGTTGAATTTTGTGGTTGACATTAGGTAACCCAAGTTTCGGTATGACTGGGTATTTTGTTTGGCGCTTTTATCCAATGTCGGCTTTAAATATTTCGTGTGAGACTATTTCAGGTGTTTATGCCGTGTGAAATTGTTTAGGGTGTTTATGCTGTGTTAGATTGTTTCAGGCGTTTATGCCGTGTGTGAGATTGTTTCAGGTGTTTATATCGTGTGAGATTGTTTCGGGTTTTGGATCGTGTGGGATTTTTTTTTATGTTTATGTCGTGTAAGATTATTTCAGGTGTTTATGCCGTATGTGAGATAGTTTCAGGTGTTAATGCCGTGTGAAATTGTTTAAGGTCTTTGTGAGATTGTTTCAGGTGTTTGAATCGTGTGGGATCGTCAGGTGTTTATGTCGTGTGAGATTGTTTCAGTTATTTATGCCATGTGAGATTGTTTTAGGTGTTTATATCGATCCTGTGAGATTGCTTATTCAGGTGTTAATGCCACGATTGTGAGATTGTTTCAGGTGTTTGTATCGTGTGAGTTTGTTTCAGGTGTTTATGCCGTGTGAGATTGTTTCAGGTGTTTATGCCGTGTGAGATTGTTTCATGTGTTTATGTCGTATGAGATTGCTTCAGGTGTTTATGCCTTGTTTGTTTTTTTTTTAGATGTTTATGTCGTATGAGATTGTTAAATGTTTATGTCGTGTTAAATTGTTTCAGATGTTTATGTCGTGTTAGATTGTTTCAGATGTTTATGTAGTGTGAGATTGTTTCAGGTGTTTATGTCGTGTGAGATTGTTTCAGATGCTTATTTGTGTGCTTTTTTTTTCAGGTGTTTATGTCCTGTGAGATTGTTTTTGGTGTTGATGTGGTGTGAGATTGTTTCAGGTGTTTATGTCGTGTGAGATTGTTTCAGATACTTATTTGTGTGAATTTTTTTCAGGTGTTTATGTCCTGTGAGATTGTTTTTGGTGTTGATGTGGTGTGAGATTGTTTCAGGTGTTTATGTCGTGTGAGATGGTTTCAGATGCTTATTTGTGTGAATTTTTTTTTCAGGTGTTTATTATGTCCTGTGAGATTGTTTCAGGTGTTGATGTGGTGTGAGATTGTTTCAGTTGTTTATGTCGTGTGATATCATTTCAGGTGTTTATGTCATGTGAGGTTATTTCAGGTGTTTATGTCGTGTGAGATTGTTTCGGGTGTTGATGCAATGACACAGTGTCGGGCAATGAGCTCACTAAATGATAACCCCCGCCTCTCTTATGATTATAATGGAAGAAGTCCATGTTTTGCTGTGGCCGGAAAACCCTAAATATGTGTCGAATCAAAAAATGAAATAGGAGGTGCACAATGGCAATATGTAATAAAGATTCTATGAAAGTTTCATTAAATTTCACTCAGTGGTATAAGAGGAGTTGTGGATAAGAGATGGGTACCCCAAAGTGTAACAGACGGACGGACGTACAGACGGAAGGACGGATATACCGATTACCATATACCCTCCCACTTTTCAAGGGGGAGGTATAACTAGAGGTACTGTGAGCAGTGAGCTCACTAAATGATACCCCCCCCCTCCCATACGATTACAATGGCAAAGTCCATGTTTTACTGTGGCCGGTCTAAAGACGAATAATGACCCCCATCGAATAATGACCGGGGGTCATTTTTCGACAGCGAAAAATGACCCCCGGTCAAAATTTTAAGGTCAATGCGATGATTCAGAATCCAAAGGAGTAAAGATTTATAGAGCCTAAAGGGTTAGGTAAACATTGTTTTTCGATGGTGGAAATCATCGTACTGACAGAAAAATCAGCAGTATCACATATTATTATATCCTCCGCTTGAAAAGCGGGAGGGTATATAGTGATCGGGACGTCCGTCCGTCTGTTACGCTTTGGGGTATCCATCTGTTATCCGCAACTCCTCTTATGTATAAAAAGATGTGTTTGTGAGACAGCTATGCCCCTGTATGGCAACATAGCGAAGATTAAACTTGTCTTAAATGCAATTTAAATATAATGGTACTCAAAGTAGGGTCTTCTCACAAGAAAAACAATTGCAAAATAGGAAAGCCCTAGCACCACTTGTTCAAAATTAATGGCTAAGGATAAGTGTTTGAAAGGTAGGTCAAACTCAAAGGTCAAAGGTCAAAGTTGATGGTTTCTTAAGAAAGGTTTAACTCTTTGCCTATCACGCCGTCTGTGTAATAGTCGCATCACATTTGTTACTTTTTGATGACGTTATCCTTTTCCCCACAGCGCACTTGCGATTACGTGGTTTGAAGATGAATATTTTAAAAACGGCGTGTGTAGCAATGGTTGTCGCATATATCGCCATAATATTAGTGCAACAATCTTTTAATTTTGAATTCAAGTATTGATGGTGATTTAATCCTGTTTATTTTGTTTAAATAAATTTAAATAAATTCTTTCATGTGGAATGTTACAAACTTAATTTTTTTATTATCTTAGCTTACAACTTATTTATTTCAAATTTCATATTTAAATCTAAAACATCAATGAAAATAATTATTTGATTTTGCAGACAGGGCATTATTTAATGCTCTTGTTTAAGAAGGACACTTGCCCCCCTCCCACCCCCCTTTATTTGTTCGGTCCATGCATATTAACTTTATTGAAACTTGCAGGAAACTTGCAGAATCTTCAATTATAAATAAAAATAGATATGAGGTCTTGAAGAGAATGATTCTCACTTGTGAAGATTTTTGTAAAAGTTATTTTACCGATTTTTTAGGACAAAAAAGAAGTTATAGCTTTCAGCATATTTAATTTTATTTATTAAGAGTCTTTACAAAAAAAAAAATTATTTTATATTGAACAATACAGTAGCGTATTGATTGTCTAAGGGAAACATTTCATTTTTTAAGGTAAAGTTTAACTGATCACATCTTCGTTTTAGTATTTTGGCCGATATACGGACGAGATACTGCCGTCGGACTCGGCATTAAAATAATCAGTTTAAAATTAGCATTATATATCTTATCATTGCTAGCCAAGGTTTTCTGATCCGAAATCTACCATGGTTGAGATGTAAAGCGGATCGGAAACCCTTGGCTATCTAAGATTGAGGAATCTTTACACCCATGTGCGGACTACTAAAAATATCAGCACGTTTAAAAGCCATGAAATAAAGAAAAAAACCCTTTTTTTATTGGCTAAAAATAAACAAATAAAAAAGTAAAAAAAAAAAAAACAAAAAACAAAAAAAACAAAAAAAACAAAACAAAACAAAACAGAACATCGAAATGCAATATTTCTTTTCTTACGAATTGAATTTTAACACATTTTTAAAAACAATGTAATAGTTTACAAGAGAGGCCAAGAACTTCTCGGACGTAGCGGTCGGTACTCGACATTTTTCCCGATGGTGCCCGAAGTATTCCGAGTATTTGTGGAGCAAATCAAGGAGTACTCCTAAAAAGGTTTCTTTGGAAATGCATTAATTGTAGATGTAGTTATTGAGAAATTTATATAGAAGGTATTTCTACAATTTCTTTAAGGGTTGTCAAAGGAATATATTTTGCCTTCAATATCAGATTGAATGCAATGAATTTTATGAACATGCAGCGTCGATGTAAACGAAACCTGTCCACCTGTAGAAAAAGAATAGTGTATCTAAAAAAATTGCAGAAAATAATGTCAGATTAAGAAACATGGAACAATAGAAAATTAATCAATCACTCAGGATCTATTAGGAGTTGGTGCGTAGTAGATATACAGATATTTCAACATCTATACTTTTGAGATTGCTCGGTTATCCCTATGATCATCATATAATTAGAATATACAAGTTAACGGCATAAAAAAAATAATTGGTTGTGTTTGTAAAAGATATGCAATTCTGACCGAAATAAATGTTCATATGAATTACGCTGGGTAATGAACAGATTATCTCAATAATTTTATTTTATTTCAGTAATGAAAAAATGTATTCTTACAACTTTTTCTTTCCGATATTTCATAGTTTATTGACAATTTTTAGTTTACTTTTATTTTCAGAACATTTATGAAAGAGTAAATTTCAGGTAATATAGATAAGACTGAAGACTTTCCTAACTGAAAATCAAAATTGAACGATAAATCATTGACATCAAAATAATAAATTTAAAAGCTTTGCTTCGTTTTTAAAGAAAACCTTGTTAAACTTGAGATCAGTATCATGTGTCTCGGACAAAGTGCAATCACCGATCGATTATTAATATACTATTCATAGACATAAAACACACCACCCCCCCCCCCCCAACCAAAAAAAAAAAATTCGGAAACACAAAAAAAAAATGTCGGAATTGTTGAGCATAATTCCTGAGATTATATAAATGAAGTACATAATTTCTAATCAGTCCTTCTATATAACAAGCTGTTGATCCAAGAAAAAAATGCCAGAAATGCTTAATATACCGGAAATTCCGGAGATAGATTTAGGAAATAATTTAGATCGCTGTTGGTGAAAAATGTTAACCCCCCCCCCCCCAAGAATGGAGTTTTTAGCGCCTAAATTAATGCATTGCTCCTCATACATGTATCTCTGCAATACCCTTTGAATACAGTAACGAGTTAACTGCCCATTCACAAGGTGTATGTCAAATGGCTTTTTTCCGTTTATAACATATAGGCGTCGGAATCGGGGGGGTGGGGGGTGGGGGTGGGTGGGGTTAGGGGGTCTTAACACTCCCCCACACACACACACACTTTTTTGCAAATATATACGTAATACATGTAATAGGCATTGAACATTGGATTTGTTGGTTTATCCCCCCCCCCCACTTTCAATTAGCCCCCCCCCCTACTTTCAATTTGCTTTCGACGGCTACATTGTATGTATAACAA